TGTTTATGAAGCAGTTGACCTCCTCTCCTTTCCCCTTGGTGCAGGCCTTCAGGTTGTCCTGAACTCCATCATCAAGGCCATGGTGCCTCTGCTCCACATCGCCCTGCTGGTTCTCTTCATGATCATCATCTATGCCATCGTTGGGCAAGAGCTCTTCAAGGGCAAGATGCACAAAACCTGCTACTATCTTGGCACAGGTAGGGCTGTGGCAGGGGTTGATGTGGCAGGGATGTCTCTGTGTTGCTGCTGCGGAGACCACAGAGATTCTGTGGGTAGCAGAAGGTCTGGTATTGCTAACATCAGGCCTGTGAGTGTGGCAGGACTGAAGGATGTGTGGTACAGCACACAGCTTGGTGATTGTATGTGGTGTGAGAAGGTGGTGAAAGGGGCCCCTTTTGGAAAGCTTCTGCAGGGAGCTGGGAGGTGCTGGGACCTGCTCTATGACCTGACCTGCTCACACCACGGCTTTCCCCCTCAGATGTAATTGCCACAGTGGGATCAGAGAAGCCAGCCCCGTGCACCAGCTCTGGCCATGGGCGACACTGCACCCTCAATGGCACTGAGTGCCGAAGCGGCTGGCCAGGACCCAATGATGGCATCACTCACTTCGATAACTTCGGCTTTGCCATGCTGACTGTCTACCAGTGCATCACCATGGAGGGCTGGACTGAAGTCCTCTACTGGGTAGGCTCCAGCAGCTTGGGCTTGGTGCCCAGCTCGGCAGAGAGGAGAGGAACATCCATGGCACAGGACCCTATAGCAAGGCTTGGTCTTTCTGCCGATGAAAGACATCCTGCTCCCACCAAGCTTCATAATGTGGTGCACATCCCATAGCACACCTGGGGTGTCCTGCAGCTCTGCAGGCGCCGTCCTTGCTCTCCATATGCAGGAAGGTGCTCCAGCTCCCACCTTTGTGAAGGGGTGCAGGCCAAGCACCCCATGTTTTGCAGTCCTTGGGAGACTGTCTCGCTGTCTTAGGCGTGGGGCTGATATTTAAATCTGCTCCCAAAATGCTTGGGTCTGGCTTTACCTCTGCTAAAACCAGGTGGAGTCATAAGGAGCCAGGGCTCAGACTCGAGGTTTATCTGCTGCCATCCCAAACACTTAGAGAGTGAAAGCTTCCAGAGCTCTTGAGGGGGTCCTAAGGGGAGACAGGCAGCAGACAGTGTGTTCAGGATGCTTCATCTGCCTCTCTCCTTGCCAGGTAAATGATGCCATTGGGAATGAATGGCCCTGGATCTACTTCGTCAGCCTTATCTTACTTGGCTCCTTCTTTGTTCTTAACCTGGTGCTGGGGGTGCTCAGCGGGTAAGTGCCACCCTGTCCTTCTCTTTGCCAGCAGGTCAATGAGCATGATCCGTGTGTGGACATTGACTGGTTTTAGCTATACAAGAAGAAAGCCTGGAAAAGTTTCTGTTCCTTTTCCTCTCCTATTCCTCTCCCCTTTTCTTTTGCATGCTTAAAAACCCTGAGCCTTGAGTTGCTTTTTGTGTTAGTGTCCATGACCGCCTGAGGTTTTACCTCCACATCTAAGTCTTTTCCCTGTAACACATGGAGCACATTATCAGGTGTCTGCAGCGTGGTCTTCCAGCACTCACAGCAGGAGCAGCTGAGTAGGGAGCTCAGAGCAGCAGTCCTGACCCCATGGCTGTGGGTCGAGGCACGGATTCTCACTGGTACCCACAGCGCTGCCATCCTGTTGTGAGAACACACCATTTCCTCATGGCCAGCCTAAAGAAAACACCTTTGATAGGAATGCAAGAGATCCAAGAGAATGTTTGTTAGTCTAATTAATGCTTCAACAGCCTCATCCAAATACAACAATGAGCTATCATCAGTCTGGTTACAATGACCATAACACTTCCATGCCAAACGACTCAATTAGCGCTAATTACCACAGTGGAACAGCTAAAGCTGCTGTGCACAAAATCTCTGCTGTGATGCTCAGCCTGCTGTGCATGGCTGCAGTGAGGTGCCAGCATCCTGATTTTGTTGCTGGGAAGTGTGTGTTGTCCTGGGGAGTGAGGGGGGTCTTTTCTCCTCAGTTCTGTGTAGGCTCAGGGTCATTTTTATATGTTTCAGTTCTGTGTGTGCAAGTGGATCGCACTCGTTGTCCCCATTAGTCCACAGGGTTAGTTATACCCTAATTACTTGGAGTTCTTAGTCCTGTTCTATGGTAAGAAGCACACAACTGCACAAAGTTAAAACAAATTGGGTATTAATATAACTAAAACAAGCTCAAAACCACCAGACGGACCACAAGCACCTGATCTTTGCATGAAGTTGTCTGTAAAAGCAGGACTAGCTGCACAATAACCAGCTGATCCTAGAGTAAGTTGCAGGAAGAGTAAAGGTTTCTGAAATACTTTTGCAAATACAGCTAAAATATGTTTGAGATCAGGAAAATCCAGACAAGACCTGACAAGTCCTGAGGCTTAGTATGTCTAATTGTTGTTATAATGTCCAAGACCTATTACGAACACATGGCAGCACCAGATTGGCTGGGCAGCAGATCTACAGTCCTGCCAGATGCCAAGTCTTTTCCATGTTACCGTAAGGAAAATGTCCTTTTCACCTGCCATGTGATGAGCGACCCCACTGTCATGGTTTAGGGCTGGGCTGGGCACTAAATCCTGGACAGATGCTCTCTATGAACCCTTCTCCCCTCCCCAGAAGGGAAGAGAAAAGAGAGTAAGGGAGAGAGACTGTATGGGTTGGAAAATAAAACTAACAGGTTTAATAAAACAATAATACTAATAATACAAGATAATCATGTAAATAGGAAAATAATGAAATATATACAGATATGTACAAATATAAAATCCTCCCCTCATCCCCCCTCCCAATGACGATGGCATCACCAGAGGCTCTGGGAGCACTGGAAAAGTCCCAGTCCAGACCCAGCAGCAGTGGGAGCTGATGCAGGAACACAGGGCTCAGGATCAGGAGCGGACAAACCAGCAGGGTCTGCTCAGACCTCAGCCACTGCAGGACTGAGTCGGATGGAAGGGTCTGAGCTGGAAGGGCTCCAAGATGGAAGGGTCGAGACCCTTGTGATCCCTTGGCTTTATACTGAGTATGGTGTATGTGGGATGCAATACCTTGTTGGTCAGTTTTGGGTCCACTTCTCCCCCCTGTAGGCACAGACACGGCACCAATGATGAGACAGCTGACCTTGAGCTTATCTTATAGCAGCACATACTGGAGAAACAATGCCTTTAGTTTCAGCAAGTTCAGCCACTTAAAAGAGACAGAGCTGAAAAGTGAAATCACTAAATAGAAAATTAGTTTTATTTACCTCAAACCAGGACACCCACATGGAGCTTGGGGCAGCTTTCTGTCACCCTTATGGATGACACCCCACTTGCTCTAATTCTTAGCAGGGTTGGAGAACTCCTACAGCTTCCAACTTTTCATGTTCGTTGTCCTGTCCAGCCACAGCATCCTGCAGCAAGGAGCTCCCAAGGAGCAGCCAAGGGTGGGGAGGAAACCCTGCCTGCCCTCAGGCATGGGGTGATGATCCCCCACGATCTTGCGTCATGGAACAGGGCCAGGAAAGAAGAAAGCCACAGAGCAATCTGGTGGTAGCACGAGGTGGTAGGATGTTTCAGGCTTTTATCTTTCTGCAAGGTCTGGCACAGGGCTGTGGTACCTGACCTCCACGCCGTCCCCCTCCTGAGTCTCACTCTGCTGCTTGCCTTGTCCCAGCGAGTTCACCAAAGAGCGTGAGAAGGCCAAGTCACGGGGCACGTTTCAGAAGTTGCGGGAGAAGCAGCAGCTGGAGGAGGATCTGAAGGGCTACATGGACTGGATCACCCATGCAGAGGTCATGGACAGTGACCGGGCCAGGGGAGAAGGTACCAGCTGTGCTTGGTCAAAGACCCTTAGCATGAGGGTTGGGTTCCTAACACTAAGAATCCTAGAGAGGAAGATTATAGACCTTCGGAGAAGTCACAAAGACTCATTTTGCTTGAAAACCTATGAAACAAAATGTTTTGACTTCTATAGAACAGTTTCATCTTTTTTTTTTCCCATTCCTGAATAATTTTATTGAATCTGGCCCAAATGCAAAATCTCCACCTCAACCATTGCATTTAGTATTTGCAGACTACTAGCAAGGCCAAGGTCTCCTTTGGCAAAATGCACTTGAAACTGCCATGAGAAGCTGCGAGAAGCCTGTGCACTTCTGTATGCAGGGGCAGAGGGCAGGGTTTCTAGCTCTCACACTAACATGCATGCTTTTCTTGCCATTGCTTGACAATTTTGAGGGATTAGAAGTGGCCCAAGGAAGGAGATGAACATGCAGGCACCTAGCCAAAGGCTCAACAAGGCCTGGCAGCTGAGCTGCTGTATCTGCAGTGCCACTCTGCCCACTGAGAACTTCTGATGCTTCAAGTGGGGCTGATTCATATGTGCAAAGAGGCTTGGGAAACGGTGGGAGAGACAAAACGCCTCTTCCACACCTGTGGTCAGTGCTCTTACAAACCTCCTGTTGTTCAGCATTTGCTCAGATCACAACTGACCTCAGTTTTCTGAGGCTCTGTGGACACTGCTGTCTGTCCCATCCGTCTGTCCGGGTTGCTGCTGTTCTTGCTGCAGGGTGGGTGTCCCTGGGGCCTCCTACTTGGTTTGCACATGAAACCCAAAACCTTCTGTCCAAGCTCCCACTGCTGTCTCCCTGCGATGACATTTCTTGTTTTCACTTCTGATGAGGACGCTCTT